CCCAGATGGAAAACAGGGGAGTAACCATGGTCCTGTTGAACATTCCTCCCCAGTTAATGATGAAGTATGGGGTCCATGCCACGAACCACAGGGTAACGGTCATGAGAGCAACCTTGCACAGACGGCATTCAGCTGAGGTCTTCTGAGCTTCCTCACTCCTCAAGGACTTGACTCCCATCTTCTTGGCTTGTTCTCGCATTCCCTTCTCATGAGCAGCAACAGCCTTGACGATGAAAGTGTAGCTGTAGATGATGTATGCAAGAGGGAAAAGATATACCCATACTGAGTAGATGTAGAGATAACTCCTTGAGAGTTCAGTCTCCGTCAAGTAGTCAGTACCACATGCAAGCATGTTACCCTCAGGTACATAACGGTTCCATCCGAAGAAGGGAGGAAGGCACCAAGCAAGAGTGAAAGCCCAAGTGCCACCAATCCTCAACATGGCTCCACCAGATGTCAAAGGTTCAGCAGACACTCCCTTGACGATGACGTTGTATCGGTCGGCAGTGATGAAAACCATAGACCAGATGGACACGCAGCCGAAGAAAGAACCGAAAAAGCCGTACAGCTCACAGAAGAGTGCGCCGAGAACCCATGTTCCCCAATAAGCGTTGACCAGGAGTGGAGGAGTCATGGTAAGCATCATGAAGAAGTCGGAGATGGCCAAGTTGACGACCAAAAGATTGGCTGGTGATCGTAGAGATTTGGTGTTCATGAATACCCAGATGACAATCAAATTACCAGCCAGAGATAGCGTTCCCATAATCACCATCCAAAAGCCGAGGAGTCCATACCATAGGGGATTCATGGGAGGGAACTGATACCAGTGAGAATGTACCATATGAAGAATAGTTTCTGGCACTGTATCTACCACTGTATAGTTCCCATAAGGATTGGTAGATGGAAGGACAGTGTCCTGGACTGGGCCGTTCCACGTCGACATCTGTAATGTACATGAATAATAGAAAGCAATACATTAATGTAAGTTTGGGCACATAAATATATCATTGGAAGATGAACAAATAAATGAATATACAAGCATACACTGCATGTCACGAAGTACAGACATTTATGTCTGTGTATATATATTCATATATATTATATATATATATATATATATATATATATATATATATATATATATATATATATATATATATATATATATATATATATATATATATATATATATATATATATATATATATATATATATATATATATATATATATATATATATATATATATATATATATATATATATATATATATATATATATATATATATATATATATATATATATATATATATATATATATATATATATATATATATATATATATATATATATATATATATATATATATATATATATATATATATATATATATATATATATATATATATATATATATATATATATATATATATATATATATATATATATATATATATATATATATATATATATATATATATATATATATATATATATATATATATATATATATATATATATATATATATATATATATATATATATATATATATATATATATATATATATATATATATATTTCTATATATATTCATATATATATTTGTATACATGCACACGCAAACGTATGTGCGTGTATGTGTATACACATGCATGCACATAGGCATATATGTATATACACACACACGTATGTATATATATACATATCTGTGCATGTGCGTATACGTGCATATGCTTACACATTCATACATACATACATACACACATATATGTACACATATACATGCATGCATACACATGCATATGTATATATACAATATATTTATATATTTTTTTTTTTCACCTAATTTGCATTAAAACCTTTACCTTTACAATGTAAGATCTTCTCTCGACCCGAAGAAATTTCCGTGGAGAACTACTTCGGTGTGAGATACCCCTGCCTGAGTTCCTGCAAGAAACTGGGAACCTGTGGATGGATACAAGGCTTATATAGCCGGCTAAAATCCACATTACAAGATTACTGTCTTGCTTTCCCAAAATGATTATTTGTTTTTTGAAGGTATCTACGAATATAGTCTCCGAAGAAACACGTGTAAATGTGAGCTGATGGTGTACTTATATTTCACGCACACACAAGGGCGTCGCTTACGTTTTCAATAATAGTTTAGAAATTGGATAACAATGTAGACACTCATACATGTGTCGCCTTGTAATACACGTTCAAGTTGTCGTACGATGAATGCCTTTTTGCAGGTAACATTAAGCACAAGATTAAACATTGTTAAGGGAACGTCGTTGGAAAAGCGTGACTTCACACACAGGCATAAATTCTTCTACTGATCGATTGCTCTACAGAATGAGTGATGCATGGAATATACAATAAATTCTTTTTGAAAGTGGTCTGATATGGAGGATTTGTTCACAATAAAGTTAGACGTGTACGCGCACACACATACGTATGTGCATAGGGGTACACTTTTATGGTGAGGAATACTCGTAAATGGTACAGGCTTCCGGACATTAAATGCTTTTCATTACAACCAACAAGACATATTTCTAATATTTCAAGTAGTAAGTCGCATGGTGACTTTCTGCTTCTCACATATGTACTTAATTCTTATATTCCCCGATGCAGTGCTCAGAAATTACACTTGAGAGGTAATAAGGATAAAAAATACATGGTTGGTTCGACGTCAAAAAATGCTCATGTCAAAATAAATATGACGTGATTGAAACTTCAGTCATACCGCCCCCCCCCAAAAAAAAAAATATATATATATATAATTTACTAAGAACTGGGTAATTCTGATAGAACAAGATGAGATAAGTAAAATTTAGATTTAACAGGAGAACCAACTAAAATACAATTCAAGTCACGGAAGCTACAACAGCCTCACATATCCGCCTCGACAGATTTTGTACAATTATTTTTCCTTACGTACATTTTTCTTTTTTATCATTATTATTCTGATTATCATTTTTCATAAGTTTTCCAGCTGACCCAGGTTTCATTTCGGTGGTCACGGAGATCGAATGTAAGGGCAGTCCGCCATTCAGTACTGTCGAGTATCCGGCACTTGGTATGCTTTGAGTATAAGCTGATTGGATGACGAGCCCGTTCCTTTTTTCTCATCTGTTAAATATATATGGATATATACATATATAAATAAATAGATAAACACACACACAAACACCGAGTAAAAGGTAACAGGAGGTAAGAGGAAATGCCGAAGAAATAAAGCAAATGTTTGATTGAAATAAAAGTACAGTTTATGACGATAACAATGGGAGTGACTGCTGATGTATAGAAAAAAAATCCAGCTTCAGTTGGCACTCGATAACTTCAACATTGGGATTATGTAAGACTAATATAGCGGGTTTAGCTATATTAGCTTTATAGGATTAGTAACTTCCTTTTGTAAAAGGAAGATTCCTAACACGCATGCGTACGCATGCACACACATACTCACCACATGTATTACATAAAAAAAAAAAAAATATATATATATATATATATATATATATATATATATATATATATATATATATATCCATTTACTGGGTATATCTAAATCTCATTTGTACAAGAAATGAAAACTGTAAACGAATATGATAAAATAGTTAATCAAACATATTCCAGCAGTTTTTTTTTTTTCTACACACATGTACAAAATCATTGAATCACTTATATGTTGGCACCACAATGAAAGTGAACGAAAATGACTTGATCATGATATACCATGGAAGTCTACGGTATGGTAGTGCTTCGTTTCTTTTATATGGCAATATATAGGGAATGCATATACAAACATATATACTGTGCATATAAATATGAATGTATATATATACATATATATACATATATATGTATATATATACGTATACACACACACATATATACATATATATATACATACACATATATGTGTGAGTGTGTATACACCTAAATATATATGAATATATAGATAAATAGATAGCACACACGCACACACACACACACACCACACACACACA